GGGGGTGAAGGCTGCCACCAGGTCACTCCTCAGCCACACCGAGCAATTAGAGCTCCTTTGCTCTCCTGCAGCAAGGCAGATTTTACAGCTCTTGACTTGTGCTGGTAGTTATTTCCTGCACAGCCTTCAGTTTGTCATTTACCTGTCATACACTGCTGTGGGTGAGCAGCTGTATGGGAATGACATCTAGTCGCAGCAATGCTCAGAGCAGGGAGCGGCATTAAACACCTCCCAGCTTCTGCCAAAAGCAGCAACCAAAGCCCCCAAACATTGCTCATGGCTCCACACACCTCCGGTCACGACCAGCAGACCTCAGGATGCTTTCAGACACTCTGACCACAGTCCCCTCCTCTCCCCGCACGGCCAGCATCGCCTCTTCCCAGATAAGCAGCCTGACATTTAGCAGTGCTAAGGTGCACACAGCTCGACTGCACCCACGTGCCAGGCAATTTGGATCCCCACTGCTCCTTACTGCTCCTCCAGCCTCTGCCTCACCCACACGCTTTGCCGGCAAGGACTTTTTGTTTCCTTCCAGGTCACAGAAACATGTGCCATGGTCTGACCCATGGGTGCTTCCCAGCCCTACTCCCATTCGTAGACGACAGCTATACATAGCAGCTTAACAGCAGGTGCTACACAGCAGCCATGAGTCTCGTATTAAATGGACTAAGAGCTACACTTTATCAGGTTTGCTTAAACATGATTAGAAACCTGGGCAGATTTCCTTCTTGCAGATTTCCTGATCATAAATGGCGCAGAGAAGTCAAAGTGAGAGCTTCTGCTCGGGCTCTCATCGTGTGTGAAAGGCCAGCTGCAGACCCAATAAAAGGAATTACTGTTTTAACACAGGAAAATAGGAATTCTGGCAACTTACTGCAACGAGGCACCGTACAGCTGACTGTGCTGGGGGATTAGACGCGTTAACCGATGCTGGAGAGGCAGCTGAGCCCCCTCCATTAGCCAGCCTGCTCCTCCCCATTACAAAAGGTTACTGAGCCCATCTCCCGGGGAAGCGCCTCAGCTCTCATCGTCTGCGGCAAACCACCAATATTCAGAAGTGGGAATTCCCTCTGGCTGCTGAAGCATTTCATCTCTGCCCTGCGAAACACCACTCAGCATTTGCTGAGCTGGAGGCCGTTGAAAACATTGCTTCCCTTTTCCAGTGCTTGAATTTGCTGGGGACGTGCTGGCAGCCTGCCAGACCAATAACGAAATCTGCCAAGACATCACCATCAGCCCGGGCGTGCAGGGGCTGCCAGGGCTTGCCCGACTCACACAAGGGTTTTCAGACTGCTGGTACCTGCTCTCCTCCTCCTCCTCTCCTCCAGGAGAGGCTTCGTGCCGTGTCTGAGCTCCCTCTGTGCTCTCCACCTCTCGCTCCTGGGCAAGGTGGCAGCACCTTTGCACCTAATCACATGGGTTGGATTTAAAACACAACAACAAAAAAACCCCAAACCAAAACCAAAGCCCAGAGCACAGAATTTGCTTATAGTGTGTTAAAGTAACACCTTGGGGCTGCAAAACTACACTTCAGGAAAAGCAAAGTGAGGGCCGCTCACTGCCGCCATACCCAGGGGCACCTTGCCTTTTCCGAAAGGATCCTGCAGTGAACAGGACAGACACCAGGCCAAAATTAAAGTTGGCATACGTTTCCTAACAGTCACCACTTTAGTCCCGTACCCTAAAGGGCACCAATTATGGCATGGAGATCTATAAATCATTAACTGATCTAAAATCATCCATGGGATGTTACTCCCCAGGCTTCTCTTACAGGCACTCTGTACTTTTTCCAAAAGCATCTGGCACCTGCAAGAGGACACAGCAAAGAGCAGGATGGTCCCGTGCTACAGCCTGACCTGACAATAGCTTCTCTACTTCCTTACAGAGGACGGCATCAAGGTCAGTAGGGGCACAGGACCCCCAAAAAATTAATGGGTCACCCAGCACCTGGGAGACGACCTGCAAAAATTACGTTTTCAGAAACAAGGATTTTTCCTTCCAATCAATTACTTCACAGGACACTGTAGCTACATCTTTTATTTTCCACATTTTATTTTTACATAGAAAAACACAAATATGCAGCATAACAAGAAATCACTAGTGATCAGCATCTTCAGCACTGTGCACACCAGACCAGGATGTGCCCTGGGAAACGCATCTTCCTTCCAGGCAGGACATAGGTGTTGCTAACACTGCGATTTGCTCTGACATGCACTTTAAATCCATCAAGAAGGAACTGGAATGGGGTGATCCAAGTTATTATCTCCTCATAATGATACGGGAGATGCTCGATGGTCTCTGTACAGCTGCAGAGCTCTCACTGGGTGTATACTGCTGTTGAAGATACATCCACACAGGCTCGTGCAGGGCACAGAGGCAGGAGAGATGGCCCTAAACAGGAGACGTGAGCCTGAACTGCACCTGATGCGTGATCTGCCCTGTCCCCTTTCAACTGTGACAACACTCGGTGTCAACAGGGACCAAATGGATCAAAGACAAAATGCATCACTTGCATGCTCTTCCCTAGCTAAGCTCTGTCTGCCTTATGAGAGGGCTATAAATAAGGCAACTTCTCTCTAAACCCTGCTAAACCTTTACTCTTCCTCCAGAGTTTTTCAGGAACAAAGGAAGATCACTTCACCTAGCGCTCCCTGCAGATACTGGCTTCCAAATGAAGGCTAGGACATCTGCAAAGCATCACCTGGACAATTCACCTCCTGCTCCAGCGCACTCACACAGCCTGTGCAGGATTTCCACAGCTCCCAGCCCCTACGGAGCCAGAAAAGAGGGAAGAGCTTCCATCTCCACGAGCCTGTGGGACAAAATCCACCGCTTACCTCCCAACACATCTGCTCTGAGAACATCAAGACATACTTGTTTGTTCTGTCATTATCCCCGTGCTCATCCTAAGCACCACGCACAGCTCCTCTGTGCCCAGGTAGGCCTCAGATGGTCTCCAGCAGTTCCCCCTCTGCTCTCCTCCTGGCCAAGGGGGGTCCCAGGCTTTTTCACCACTTCACCTCAGTAACAGATGTATTTAACACTCTCCACAGGTGGCCACAGCCCAGTTTCAGGCTCTTCTTTAAGGAGCAATATCCAGGGTTTGGAGGCACCCTGTCCAGGGCTTGGAGCTGTCCTTCAGCCTTGCAGTGGCTCAAGGGCTCTCCACGCCTGCCAGCCCAGGAGCTGGGGAAGGCCTGGGAAGGCCAAGAGGAGCCTCAGCAAAGGTGCAGAGGCCCCTGGCCATCAGCACTAATCCTCAAGACCTTCAGCACCATCTCCTGGTCATTCCCGGATTCAGTGGCAACGTAACCTCATGCTTCCTCTGTTTCACCATCACCGCAAAGCCTGGAGGACAAACCATGCATGCACCCGAGGACGAGAAAGGTGGGAGCCCTTCAAGACATTTGCAACACTTCAACAGGGTCATACGCTTGCTGCCGCACACACACAAAAATACCACGCAGAACATTAGCTCCATCAAGCCCCTCTCCTGGGAGCACCCCTTGCTGTTCACTTCTTCTCTCCAAGTTGTAACAGGAACAACAAACTCTCCCTGGCACAACCACCTTGGCACACTTCTGCACAACCATCTCTGCCTGGTAGCTGTGAGCAGCCAGCACAAGATGCTGCTGGAAAACTCCGATCTGTGCATCTCCTGTGCTCCTGTGGCTCTGGGCAGCATGATAGAACGGGTGCTGCTCACCGCAGGGTCTCAGGCTGCAAGATGCAGTGGGGATCACCGCTCTGTGCAAATATCGCAGTTGCAGAGCTCAACCTTTTGGCATGAGGGAAAGGAAGATAAATGCTACCAGTCCCCTAAGAGCCACAGGAACCCTGCATCTACCTAATTGCACTTCATAATGGATTCAGCAAACCATTAATTATCAGATTATATTTTAGGAAACAGCAGATAAAAAAGCTTTATGAAATTTAGCCTTAAAGGGGCCAGTGTGCTACAATGAAGCTGTTGCATCGCACTGGCACCAGAGAAGCAAACTTTACAGTGAGTATCTGAATGTATTTTACAAAGCAATGCCCTGTGTGCCATAGGGAATGTCTATGTGCAGTCACAGCAGCTATCGCACACTCAGACAGAAACACCTTCATTAGTGCCAATCCACTGATACCAATAAGGAGGGGCCCTGGCATGCAGGCACAGCTTCTTCTCCTTTCTCAGATGTGGCAGCTTCAGCATGTCCTCAGTAAATCAGAGGAGGGGTGGCAGATCTCAGGGCTGTTCGCTTGCAAAAAGGATGTGGATGCCCAGACCTGCCCGTGACCCTGCTTCATAATGGACAGTTGCAGCAAAAACATGGATGGGATCAGACCTGTGCCACACGAGGTATTACCTAAACAGCTCCAAAGCTATTCAGCACAACTCCCAAGAAGTCTCTGCTCGAGCAGAGAGGCCCAAATGTCAGCTCTGTGCTGGAGGACTTTTCTAGCTGGCACAACAGGCAGCACAACGGTAAAGAGGAGAGCAACAGAAGAAACAAAGCAACCCTTACACACCCTGCAGAGTAGCAGATACCTGCAAGCACATCACCGACTCAGCCATAAAAACCTCCACCCCAAATTCTCAGGACAGTTTTTTCTTTGGTTTCACATACCCATACCACCCCAAATTTGTCCTACACTAGTCTCCTCCCCTCCACTCTGTTCACAGTGGTGGAGAAACACACGTGAACACACCCAATTCCCATCTTTTCCTCTGCTTTATTTCTCTTGAGCCAGGAGGGATGGGTGGTCCAGCTCACCTGAGCTGGCAGCTGCTGACTGTGGGAAGACCTCCCAGGCCCTTGTGAATGTCTAGAAACCTCCCTTGTCCTTGGCCATGCTGTGCTCGCTGCATGCCATTTCTTTTGCAGCATCACATACCAGGGGTTGCTTTCCCAAAGAAATCCTCAATCTCCCTGCTGGAGCAGCATGTTGAAGTACAGCTCCTGAACAAATCTAGTGGATACCAGGCACCATGCATGGGCACCTGCTGCTCACTCTCACTTGGTTTCTTCACAAATCAGAGTGACTTTGTCATCAAACAAGTCCTGCATAGTCACTGCCACCAGCTCGGAGCCAGTTTGGCTCACCTGGGATTCGGGCAATGTCACAAAGACTTGGCAGCCAGTGAGTTGGGTGTCATCAAGAGAGATGATGTGCTCTGCTGCTCCTTGCTCTGACGTCTGAATCACCTGCATGGAAGATGACCTGACAGTCAGATACTTACAGCACCACTTTCCCCACAATCACTTTGCTACCCACATCTTTCCCAGCCCAAGCTCTGGTAATAACACTCAGCTTCATGTCAGAGGTCTGCAATTACAATAGGTGTGAGACTAATGGGAAACACCAAACCACACACACCGGTGATGCAAAAGAGAAGACAGAAGAGTAATTTAAATATTTCTCTCCACAAAATTGCTATAATTTAGCTCCATATGCAGTCGTAGACAATAAACACTCTGTGATTATCCACTGGAGGAATGCCAGCCCAGGGAATCTTGCACATTGTGCTCCCTCATCCAAGGAGCTGTTCTCCACTGATGGCTGAGATACTGAAGAGTCTGGGTTCAAGGCTAGCATTTGGCCTCCAATCTCATGGAGTATGTCATCTGGGTTTTAATAGCCTTTGAGTAACCAGGCACCTCCGCACACAGTCAGTCCCTCCTCCTCGGCTCCTGAAAACCAGGACTGAGCTGCTTTCCCTCCAGTGAGCCTGCCTCACACTAGCACAGAAATCCCAGAGCACTGTGGGCTGGAGGGCATCCTGGACCCCTCTAAGAAGGGGGAATCGGGGAGCACAAGGGGTGACAGGAGCTGCAGGGTGGATTTGGGAAGAATAAGGGGGTTGGAGGGGGAAGATGGATGAACAACCGTGGGTGCTGCAGCACAGAGCAGAATTTACCTGCACAATCTGAGCCATGCTGGCTTGGGAGAAGACCACCTTGGGATGCTCAGCACTGTAGTGTCCCTCCAGTTCACGCTGGGAGGGGAAGAGTTCCCCGCAGAGCTCGCAGGTGAAGGTGCTCTCTGTCTGCTTGAAGTGCTCACTGGTGACGTGGTTCTGCAGGGCTCCTGGGAAACGGAAGGATGCTGAGCAGTGCAAGCAACGAAACGGCTGGGAGCCTGCAGGGAGAAGCACTGCCCTGAGCCTGGGCTATGACGGCCAGTGCCACCCAGAGGCTCAGGGAGCTGCAAATGGCCAGGACGCACAGGGCTGAAACCCACCAGGGACTCAGGGCACAGCATGTGTCAATATCCCTTCTCCTGGCTACACCACTGTCTGTCAGTTTGTGGCTGTTCAGGTCTGTTTTAGCTCTAGCTCCCTGCAGCATTGGTGTTCAGAAACCAGGCTGGTGTATCTGACTGTAGCTGCAGCTGACCCTTCTTGCAGAAATCACTTCTCCCTGTTCCATTGCACCCTCCAGCATTGCTCCTTGTTGGCCTAGCTTGTACCTCCTAATTCAGCTATTGCAAATCCATTACCCACCCCAGGGGCTCTCTCCTCTCAGAGACAGCTATGTCTAGGTCTCCTCCTTCCTCACTCTCCAGGCTACTGTTGGCTGCCCTCTTCAATGGCTCCTGACCTATCTCCTCTCCTGCTATCCCATGCACAGCCCTGGGGATCCACCTTTCACAGTAGCCTGGTCTGCCAGTTTCACTCTGCCCTCACAGCCTTGCTTCAGTTTGCACACTTGCCAAAGGGCCCTTGACTTGGTCTCCCCAAGCCCAGTTCCCTCTGATCTCTCTGGTGCTAAACTCCCTTTTTCTCCAGTCTCCCACTAGCTCTATCCTCAACAAACTCCAATTTTGGGGGTTCAGTTCCTGACTTCTCTGTGCTGATGTCTCCTAATCTAGACTTAGCTCTCTCCTCTGCTGTAACAAGCAAATTCAGAACCCTACTTGACTCCAGTGGTTCCAGAAGCTTAAGAAACATGTCCCAGCCTACATGTCCCAGCCTCACCAAGACTAGTGCTTTTCCAGTTCATCCATATTTTCTGTTTCCTCACACTCTGTTTCCTCACCATGTCCATCTTTACTCTCCCACTTACAGCTTGGACATCATTCACTGAGAGAGTAGTCATTGCTCACAAGGTAACATGAACAACAGCAAACGTAACAGACCTGAGTGCCTGCACTTCACGTGGACCTGCAGGAGAGCCAGAGTAGGGAAGAGCTCCTTGCACGTCTCACATTCATGGAACTTCACATCTGCAAACAAGGCCAAGAAGAGAGAAGTGTCCTCCCAAGGTCTTCTACAGGAGACTTTCTGGACCAGAGCTCTGTTAATATCTCAGCAACACCACACATGTGTACAGACGGCAGGAGCATCTTTGGAGATAAGGCAGGAAAAAGAGAGCCCAAGAGCAAGCAAGCTGCAAGGTACTGAGATGAGACTTGCCAGGACAGACTCCTTCAGGATACAAAGAATCTACTGTGATTTGCAGGTAAATGGGATCGGCAACCTTGTCCCATCAGTTAATGCATCTGTCCCAGCAGCTGCCACATGGTTTTGTTCTCTAACAAATGGGTCGTTACCTGTGTGCTCTGCCCTGACGTGCTTTCGATGAGCAGCAGTGCTGGAGAAGGTTTTGTCACAGGAGCTGCACTGCAGGGAGGAGAACTTGGAGGAGCGGTGATTCTGAGCTGCAAAGACATCAGGGTGGTGGGTCCGGTTGTGATACCATAACCCTGACAACTGCTGCAATGATAAGGATCAAGTCATGGTTACAATCCAAAACTGTTCCGGGGCATCATAACAGCAAGAAACTGCATGGAAAGCAGCTGTAACAGTGAGGTTGTGCTCAGTAGGTACAAGACCTGCTCACCCTCCCACAGGTCAAGAGCTAACACCTCACTTCTGTTTTTCCATTGCCCTTGAAGAGCTGAACACCGCCGAATCCCCCATCCTCATCTCACTCGCTGCAGGTCTCCTTTTGGTGTGAATTTTTGTTCCCTTGTAGGAATGTGCTCCCACACACACTCCCACTGAGGCATGCTATTTGCAACATGAGTATTTTTATTCATACACTTCCTGTCAGCTAGAAACTTGGGTGAAAGATTCCTGAGGGTCCAGACAGGCAGGTACGTACGTAGCCCTTTGCATTCATGGCTCAGCTCTCTCCACGGACCTGCCTTTTC